AGAGCCAAAAACAAATAAATAATAAAATAATAATAACGAAAAAAAAAATTGGTTTAAAAAAAAAAAAAAAAAAAAAAGGAATGTTATATAAAAATAAATCCAACAACATCAATATCAACAATGTTTAATGAAATAAAATGTATTCATGACTTGATTATATGATAAAATAAATAATAACTGTCAACTCACCAGAAAAAAAGAATTAATTTTTTTTAATATAGTTATTTATTATTATTTATACATCCATTTATCGATAAAAAAAATCACTTTAAAATAAAAGAATTACACATTAAAAAAGGTGGTGGTGATTATTGAGATTAACCTGTTACTCGCGCTACTCTAGTTTACATATAAGAAATTTTAAATTTTTTTTTAAATAGTGCAAATACCAATGATAATACATCATTTTCAATATTAAAAACAAAAAAAATTTATTCATTATTAGATAAGAATTTTATTTATATATAAAAATTTTTGAAAAAATTATTAAAAATTATACAAAATATTAACGAATATATGACTTTTCAATGAGGTGTAAGTCATGTTCATGTTTAATGTGACTACCATAATGCGCATCTTCATGGTATTCTGTGTATTTTTCATCGAGAATTGATAACGGGTACTTTGCTTCATTTAAAGTTCCTGCCCAATCAAAGTTAACTATTTTAATTGACCATTCTGTTTTATACATTTTTGCCATTATATTATCAATTCTCATATCACCATGTACATATTTAGCAGAATGGATATTCTTGATTGCACGGTTAATCTTTGATTTTAAAGTCTCTCTGTCATCTAAGGAGAGCAAACGCCATATTTCTCTTACGCATTTGTACCCCTGTTCTTCAAGGTCTTCCATAACCACTAATTTATATTCTGATAAATTAATTGTGTTTATGGCAAATAATTCTGGTGCGAACCCGTTTGTATAGCAAAGTTCATGCACATCATCCCCGTATGTTTTCACAAATTTTATGATACAATTAGTTCCTTCTGGCAATCTCTTTATGCGAAATACAAGTTGATTTTGCAATAATAATAATTGTTCCACATATACAAATTTTATTAGATTTTTGTCCCGAGAAACATACTGTTTTTATAATGATTTTGTTATTAATCCAATCTCCAACTACAGGAAAACGAATTGATAAGAAGATGAAATATTTAAATTAAAAAAACGAATTACAGAGCTAGAAAAAGGTAGAGATCTCATGATGAAAATGTTAGGTTATGCGTTGGAGTTTGATTAAAGATAGGAATCGACTATAATTGGTATACTTACAACAACTATAATTAACTTGTTTCTTTTTGGTTTCCTTCTCTATGTTATATAACTACTAATTTTGTAATTCTTGGAGTTATTTCGACTGAATCATCAAGTATTTTCTTTTCCTCATATAATTCTGAAAATCATAATTTGATTAGATGTTCACTCTTATGCTAACATTCATGTTTATTTTTATCCCTTTTTTTTTTATAGAAAAGAGGAAGGTAGAAAATAATGAATTGGAACGTCACATCGAATTTCTTAAGAAATTGCCAGTTTCAAGCGACCTTGGAAAGAATGGAAAGTGGATGTCGTATGCAACACAACCTGACAACATTGTGCATAATTATCGTCCTTACGATAATCACAATCTCCCGTTAGCAATCCTTCATCCTGTTTTCCCCAAATTTATGATAGATGTAGAAAATATTACAATTCTACCAAAAGAGGAAGAAAGCGTCTATAGGATGACAAAGACCATGTGTGGAAAATTTAAAATTGAGGACAATAGGACTGCATATTTTAGTAATTGGTCAGAGGAGTTCTTCCGTAGAAAGGCAAAGTTATCCCGTCGCTTCGAAGAAGATCCAGATATTTCATTCGTTAAAGTTATAGAAAATAATATATATCTTGCGATTATAGAATTCAAAAACGAAATTGGAGCGGGTGGAGATCCATATATTCAAGCATGCGGATACTATTCAAAGTATATTTTAAA